TATGCAATACTGGAATTGTATGTACTTTTGGAAAACTGTGTAATCCATGTTTTATGACAAAACAAAATGCCAAAGAGCTATATGATAACTTCCAATTATTGTTATTATGTTATATATACTGTAAGTCATATTATTTATCTTGGTAGTGGAGTATTACATTTTTACTGTTCACGGATATTGGTTATATTTACATAAAGTACCTCTACAATTTGGAGTGACGATTTTTATTACTTTTGTCATTTTTTTTGCGTAATTCGATAAAATCAATATTTTAAATCTGTATCATCAATCAGCATCTCATCCACATATATTACTACACATACCAACTATTTTTTTCGTTTCCTGTTACCTGTCTATGACCTGGGTTATTTAGCAGCACCATCTATATCTTCTTCCTAACCTACTTTATTTTTTACTGGCTGATTCGTTTGTCTGTGTCCCCCCAGCATTGTTACCGACATCTAACCCTTTCTTGTGACCAGAGAAGCAGAATGAAAAGATTTACACATAGACACGGTTTGCTGGCTTTGCTTCGATCTGGCTTTTGTCTTGCAGCTTCAAGCACACCTTTCTAAGCACATTAAAATCTCATCTAGGGCAGAAAGAATTGATTCTCGTTAGCTGTGATTGTGGGGATGCATGTCAGTATATAGTGCCTATATGTAAAAAAACCTCATGGTGACAAATGATCACAATTTTACAGGTCTGTTAACACAGATGGACCATTGAGGTGTTTTGTCATTTAAATTACACAAAAGCAGAAATACGGTTACATATACACCTATGCATGTGCACTACAGAAACTCAAGTATGTGCACACACTCTCAAACATATACACTGATTTTTGTGTGTCCATTGAGATTTATGACCCCGTCGCTGTTTCTTCTTTCTCAATCTTTTTTTAATTATTCTGTCTCCAGAGCACGATTTAAAAAGCTACAATTTCTTTCAATTAAACGCCAGCAGTATGAAAGCTCTTTATTCCAGTTTCTGGTCTGTCAGCCTCTCAGTTTCTAATCTGCGACGACGTACCATTTGCAAAACCAGCCTTTCAACATTCAATCCATTTCGGTGAAGGATTTGAAGGCTAAAATGACCAAGGCCCTTGACTGTGGACATTAGGAGAAGGCCACCTCTCAATCAGACTTCTGTTTTTTAGGGGGGAGAGGAGATCAGGGATTGCCCAAACCAATGAAGCCCTTCAGGATTTGTGATGTTGTTTCTCAAGACAGGTGAGGTTTAATGCCCCATCCTGAGCTGTAAAAAACATGGCACTGCAGAGTACAATCAGTAGGTCCTGCTCTATCTGCAGGTGTCACAGAAGACCATTTATGTTCCTCACTCTTGCTGTATGACATATTGGACACTACACTCTATGGCAGTTTCACCGTCCTGTCTATCACTGAGAAGCTGAATACATTAATAAACAGGCTAATCTGTCTTCTCCAGAGACTATTCATTCGTGACCGCTCAGTCTGATGCAACAGATATGAGCTATCGAGATGAAACCTCCTTCTGGCTAATTAATATTTTCTTTTGCTCTCTCCTCCAATTTCTGTTACTGCTACTTTTTTTTAAGGAAGAAAAAAAGCCAAAAGCCATAAGGCGTGTGCAAAAATGCTCCTCAAAAAATCCCCGCAGAAATATTGCAAATGTAGTGTGGATTTAGCGTATACATATGTAGTAAAGTTTCCTCCAATGTCCTTTTTGAAGTCCTTACCACACTGCCTTTTAAAAAAACCTACCTATAAAAAATGGTGTGCTTGCAGGAATATGAATCAATGAACGATAAGTGATTATTTTTGTGGTCAGTGTATGATTCTTTTCTGCAGAGTTTGTGGATGGTGTTTTAGTAGTTCAGGCCAAGTGGAAGTGTGTAACATTGGATGACTGCCAGTGGCTACTGTTGAGCAGTTCCAGTGACAGGCCTCAAACAATCAGTGAGGTTTCATATTATATTAGCATAGTAAAAATGTTTTGTAGTTTATACAACTATAATTGTTAAATCTCCGACCACAACATTTGGATCTTTGTTGAGCACTCTTTGCTTATTTCTGACCAGCTGTGGAAGATGTATTCAGAAATAGCCAATACCTCTATGTAAAAGTAAGGGATTAGCATAAAAAATTGTATTTAATGTCTGAAAGTAAAAATAGCAACTACAAGTGTTATAATATTAAATATCAAGCTTGCTTATTATAATTACTCACAGAGATCATCACAATTGTTTTTTGTATTTAAATCCAAAGTTTATTCGAATTTTACCCGTCAAAAATGGAGTGGGGTGTAAAATACAATATTTCCTTGTAAAATGTGGTGGAGTACTGTATTAGGTATAAAGAACCACTAAATGGCAACACTCAAGTAAAGTACAAGTGCTTTACCTTGCACTTACGCCGTGACAACAGTTTGAGTGGTCTTATGAATTTTGCTGCATAGGCTACATGCACACACACATACATAAAATAAATCTCAGTTGTATCCTGAAATTGTCCCCATAATACTGAAACACATTGCATGAACCAATGAGATGGGTTGTTCCCCAGCAGGCAATGGATGGTGGGCAATCGATATCTTCACGTTAGGCTGCAACTCGCTGGTACAGGAGCCAAGCACTCCAGGTAATGAACTGCCTGCTTGATATATATCCCTCAGGGTGGGATTGCAGTGGTGCAACATGGTACTGCAACAACAGCAATTCTTTGATTAGCCATTTCTCTTCCATCCCGCTTCCCTGTCACACAGGGAAATCTATAACGCACAGACACTAACTGTCTGTCCACATGTCAACATGTCCACTGACAAACTGTTATGTGGCTCCTGCAGGATGCTCACATACTTTACACCACCCTGCAAACTACAGAGACAGACAGAAGTCAAACAAGCACTACAAACTGTAAGGGGCTCTCTTTTCATGGTGATTTGCAGCCCCAGCCTGATGTGACACCACACCAGGCTACTGGTAATGAAACTCTGAAACTATTTGAATCATCAATGGTTAACCATTGAGCCGTTAAATGCTGTTTATAGCTTTCTTTTTTTTCATCAAACTATTCAAGACTTGGTTGTCAGTCTGCCAGATATGTTTGGATCATCAATCCTTTTTAGAACTGTTTCCTGTTTTTATTGCATCCACCGAGAACACAGACTTCCTGCAAGAGTGAACTTCATTAAGATGAGTTAGAGATGTGAGCAAAAGGCTGTATAAGCTGATAACACTACACCAGAACCAAATAGCAGGGTCTCTGTGAGAACACCAGCCCAGACTTCTAGACAGCAAACCCTTCAAATGATATATGCTGTGACCCTTAAACTTATTGGCTGCTTGTCATATTGCTGAACATAAAATATATAGCTGAATTTTATCTTACTGCTTTACTTGTTTTTATTGTTCCGGTGAAGAGTGTCAGACAAGAGATTTTTTCAACCAGGGAATTCTTTTTTTAGTTTCTGCCATACTAATGATAGACATTTCTTTCGCTAATTCTGTAACTATATACAGGGAGATCCACCAATTTGGTAAGTCAAAGTTTAAAGTTAAAACAAAAATTAAATATCCGTGTTAAATTCTTAAAATTCTTAAAATTACACCTGCTTCTTCACCCTCAACCTTGAATATATGAATATGCAAATTGTTACTGGACATAAGGTGTCTCCTACAGTCCATTCTCAGTGTATGTGTCGATGCTACCAAACCAGTTGTGATGTCACAGAATCATCTCGTACATAAACATCTTAAACTTTGCCTTGTCAGCAGATTAATCTGAAAACTGCACATACATCATTCTGTGGGAGAAGGTCAAACATCCAAATGAAATTTTTTTGAGTGGAGGAGGGGCTTTAACATTCCACTGTATGTACCTCACATAATTTGTATACTTTTCTAAGAGTCAACATGCTGTGCAACTGCACTGGACTTTATAGTTTCTTTGTTGTTTTGCCTGGCCTGGTACGCCATGTGCAGTCCTCTCACTCCCTGGACGTGCCATCCTTTAGCCATCCACCACATGCCCTCAGTCCTGCTCCCCTGACATCCCCGCCCCGCTTCCTCACCTGCATCGCATTCACTCCTCAGCCACACTCCACATTTACCAGTTCACCTCTCTTTGTTTATTGTTTGATCGTCATCGTTGCTATGCAGTTTTTTGTTACCTGCTATTACATTACATTACATTACAGTCATTTATCAGACGCTTTTATCCAAAGCGACTTACAATAAGTGTATTCAACATCGGTTATCGAGAGAACGTCACCAGAAGTCATAAGTGCATCTCCTGCTACCACAAGTGGTCATACAGCGGTATCATACAAGGAATAATAAAAGTAAGGTATAAGAAAACATTCAGAAATATAAAACACTTTCATATACTTTGTGAAATAGTCTACTGTAAAATATATATAGTTTCAGTTTGCAATAAATAGAAGGAAGAAAGCAAAAAACAATGGTTTTGTCTGCTATTTAGATCCAATTGTTTCTGTCTACATGTTGCTTTGAATGTGCATATTAATGAAAACATTTGTTTTCTGTATAAATACGATTTTGGGCAATTGGACAAACTGCAGTCCATGGACCTGTCCCCTTCAACCTAATAAAAACACGTGAGACTCAAAACCTAATCAGCCCCCATTGATCTGCTCTCAATAATCCAGAATAGAAGTCTTCGGAGTTACAATTTACAACTCCAGGCGAGTCCTTGGGGTCGCTCTTCATGCCAGATACAATTCCTTTACTGGCCATTATAATGAGGCTTTAAACTGCGTGGCCACTGTAAATCTGCCTCGCTAAGATTGCACTGCTCCTGGTTTGACTGACCCTCACCTCACTAAATCTCACATCCAGGACCAGAGAGTAATTTATTGTCCTCTCCTGACCACATTCGGCAAAGCAGTGTGTAGTCAGCAAATCACGGCAAGTCTCCAGGATCGTCATCTAATATGTGTTGATTGGAAGAGAATTAGGACCGGATGGGTTTCTCACTGAAGGTGGTGTTTTACTAAAGCTACGAGGACAGGAGCTGACATGTGACTATATGCTGGGTTCAAGACAATTAGATGGAATAGTATAAAACTTATACTTTAAGTCTGTAGAAAATCCTCAGACATGATCTTTCATAATACGTTGTTGGGGGGCATGCAGGTCTACATGTTTTAATTATGAGTATTTTCTGTAGTGTAGGAAGTTGCTGATTTCAATTAGTTATTAGTGTGTGGGGGCAACAGAGGTCAGATAATTACATATTAAGTGCACTGACTGCATAGTATTACTTACCAAGAGTTCAGTCGTGTTCTCACCATATCCAAGGTCAAACGTTTAGAAATTCACAACCCCCCCTTTTCCCTTTCAATTAGCAAAATACAGAGATCACGGTCAGTGAACTATCCCACCTAAAACAGCTGCTGGTGTAAACGTCCAGCCGATCACAGACCGGGACGAGACCTGCAGGACTTGCTGGGGACGGAGAGAGCAGCGCTCCAGGACGAGGCTGCTGCGCGTTGACAGTGCGTAAAGACCCTCGAGGAGACTCGGTGTATTTTATGGGGCGGATTGCTTTAAAGCAACCCTCAAAGACGGAGCAACAGATATCGTTATTTGACGAATTATCTCCTCTTTTTTTTTAGGCATTAGCACCGTGCTGTTGAAGTGTTTAAACCGTAGATTCCGGCATGTCCGAGAGGAAGAGCGCTAAACACCGCAGCTCTGAGGCATCAACACCGACAACTCCCGCGGATCAGATGGTGCCGAAAAAATGACTCGGACTATTTCCATCCTCGCTTACTTGGTCTCTTTGGTTCACTGTAAGTTTTTCTTTCTTTAAGTTTTGTGACATAACCTACTAATCATTTTCAGTAAGTGGCTCCGTGGTGCAAAGATGCAGATACCTCAAATGTCTTGCTTTGTTTTATTTATTTTTTTATCAATAAAATGTATTTGCATGTGAACGCATAGTTTAATTGAAATTATAAACACATGCATGAATAAATAGCAAAAATAACTGATTCTACCTGTAGTGTTACATTATTAATTTACAGCAGGACTAAAGAAAGTGGGAGGGCTGCACCGGTTGCACAGATTCCTCATAAAAAGATATTGATTTCAGCCTTATTGGTGTACTTGTTGATGCTATGTGTAAGGTAGGGCAGGAGGGAAGATGGAGAAATAATGCGGGCTGCACCAGTAAGAAAGGAGTAGCTGCAGACCATTGTTTGATGTGGTATTAGGTAGGTAGAGGAACTGACAGAGGCTGAGAAAAAAGGAAACAAAAGCAGTGAATTGCAGTCAACCTGCTGTCACATGGGTCAAACACTGAGAGGAGTTCAGCCTATTCAAACACAGCGTGTCTTTCGGAGCATTTTGATAAATCAGACCTGGCCTGTTGTAAAATGTGGCCTGTATTCACCAAATGCAATCAGCACTCATATGGAAGTTTGAGATTTTTAGAGTGGGTCTCAACTAACATGCGTCTACAACATATACACCCGAGAAGTGCACACACCGTTAGAAACACAGCCCCCCGAACCTATACAAGTACCAGTTTCAGCAACTTCCCATCCTTTTCTTGACTTCTTCAACATCACCTTTTCATGTCACCAAAGTGGGTTCACCTGGGAAGACCAATACCTCATAATGAAACTGTCTCTGTGTGAGTAGTTTGTCATTCAGTGATGACATTTAAGTGATGAATCCTCATGTGTGTCACAGAGACAAGCAGCGGAATATAAAGCAGTCAGAGAGAAAAAAAAAAATCTGTTTTTTTCAACCTTTGCCCCATGTTTTGGTCCATTCACACACCTCATTATGCTCTCGGCTCTCTTAACTGTATTACATTTTTGTCAAATTTTTTTTTTCAAGTGTGCTGTGCAGAGTGGCCTTATCAACTCCACAACAGCTGACTCTACCATTGTTTTAACACGCCTGACCTCACTCTCCATCAACGTAATGTGAACACAACACTTGAGGCGCTGTTCATTTTACGCATTAAAACCTACACACACACACACACACACTTACACACACCAGCGGCAGTTCACGGCAGGTAATCACAAGTTTGGGTGGTTTGCCAGTGGCCCTCATCTCTGGGGAAGGCAGAGCTTGTTTGACTCAGGTCTCTCAGGGCTTTGACAACACACCATCTGTTAAACAGTGCTGTGGAAGTCTGACTGTGTTGGATGGGACTGCAGCCAAGGCACAGTCATGGCAGCATGTGCTGACCCGTGGGGCTAGCTAGACTGTGTGTGTGCCACGCCCTGCAAAGCTCCAGGAGTCTGTGGGCCGATAATGGCACACACAGTTTGATACTGAGCAAGAAGAGAAGCATTGGAGTTGAAAGTCCAACATTGTTCTTACTTATAGCATCATCACAAAGGTTCAGAAAGGGGACTAGCTGATTCTCTGAGGTTCTGCAGCCATGAACATCACTTTGCTGAATATTGACAACAGTAGCGATTATTTTTCTACAGGCCCATCAGTAAGAGTCTCGTGTGCTTCATGTGTGTTTGAGTGTTTCCCAAGAGTAAGTCGACTCAGCTACTCCAGACCATGGGGGCATTAATAACATGCTGGATGTAAAGACAATGGGGGAGGTAGTGCTACATGTATTCACTCTGCTCCAAATGAGAAGCACTGATCATCAGTTTCAATCAGGCTTGTCTTCACCCCTGACATGGGCTTCTTTTATCAGGGATGGAGGGAAGGAGGTCGAGTTGAAGTGTTGGTATTCATGGCTTATTCTTACTTGAATGATACATTCAGCGGTTTGGCTTAAGGCCGAATTATTGACATTCTGTGAAAATATCTGCCCTCGTCCCAAATGTAATTCTTTGGAAATGACTGTAGGGTCTTCATTACATTACAATATAAATTGCACATCAAAGCCATCGCTGTATTTTTTAATTGCCAGATGCTGTTTCCCTTAGGACTATACGTGAGGTTTGTATGAAGCAGTCTGACACAGATAGATGAGGAACAGTATTTTGCTGAACAGATTCGTTCACTTTGTCAGTGTTTGAGTGTTTTTGCACAGATGCAGGGAGGGAGGGTATACCTGTCTACATGTAGATTAGTATCAGAATTAGTTATTGGAACAGTATCATTTAGAGTGCTGGTATGTTTTGGGGAAGTCAGTATTGCAATGGTTCCCCCGACCAAAAAGCGAATGGGATTCTTTAAATATTTTTCCAGCAACCGCCTTTTTTATGTAAAAGCTTCAAAATTCATGAGAGGGGTATTACTGATATGTTTTATATCATAGAACAAAACATTAAAATCTCTTGAAGCTTGTATTAACCAAAGGCATTTAACCAATAACCCTTTAAAACGTATTTACTTTGAGACGAGAGAACCGAAGATGCAAACCCATTTCTGGATTTAAGAATTCCTTCCTGATTGTTTCCAGACGACTCCATCCTCATATTTAAAAAAAAAAATAGTTCAATAGTTCAATTTGACAGCTGGATGTAGTGGCTTTAAACAACAACCTTTGTGACAATATGAAAACAAGTAGCATGGACTTTACATTGTCCGAGCATATATCCTCGCTCCATGGAACACTTATGTTCTAAATGTTTTTGTCTTGATACTGATATTTTGGATGTGTATACTATGCACTAACTGTGCATACAAATAATTTAACAAAATTGTGTCACTAGGTAGTCACTGTGCCGACTCAGAGGAGCGTCTCATGAACTGGTTGCTGGGAAAGGGTCGCTACAATCCGCTCATCCGCCCGGCTGTCAACAGGACAGAGAGAGTCCCAGTGAAGCTGCAAGTGTCTCTGGCTCAGCTCATCAGTGTGGTAAGGCACCAAATACTTCTGCCCACCATGAAGAGGTGGGTGTGTTTGTTTATGTGGGAGAGAATATGTGCTGGGGAGACAAAGAGGGAGACAGAAAAATAAAGACAGAGCGAGAGAAAGAGGACAATGGAAAAGACAGAGCAAGAGCCACAAAGCTTTAAAGAAAGCAGTTAGTTATCCACCAGCCACTGCAGCGAGGCCATAGCTCTAAACGGATGGATGAAGTAGAGGATAGATGTGGTCAGCTGTGATATCTGACTCTGTCATGTCCAGATTGAAACTTCAGCACATTGGATTAAAAGGGGCCATAAAGCTGTTTTAGCCACAGTGATAGAGGTCCTCCTGTGATTTACAGCGGAGGCTCCTTCCCACTGCAGACCAAGGCAGCAAGGCTCACAGGCTCAGTTGATGAGTTTGCATTGTACCCTTGGAATAATTGCCATTTGGTATCACTTTATTGGATGCGTATGTCATGGGAGTGTGATGACATTACCAACAACAAACATGTTAACAAGCAATCAGAGAAGAGGGGAGGATTTAAATGCAGTTATTTTTTACCCCACTTGAATCGAGATGCCAGAGTAAATATGACAGTAAGCAGGAAGGTACATCTTAGATTAGAGTTACAACAACTCTGTCCTCATATTCCGATAACGTTTGCTTTGCAATGGAAGTTGCAAGTGTGTTGAGATGCTGACACAGTCCAGTCGAGATCGTAATTTATTCTGTGTGCAAAACCTTGTTGTGCCCTTGTTACACCAACATAAACTACTGTCTCCTCTCGGTCCTCAGCATCTTTAATGAGTTTTTTTTAATGAAACCAGCTGTGTCATCCGCATTGTGTCGGCCGGTATACAGTTAATTGAAACTACAAATTCATGTAACAGATTGGTAACATGCCTCAGCAGCCATGGAGGCAAATAAGCAGATCAGTAGTCTAGAAGAGGTTTCAGATGAAGCGTCATTTATTTTTTCATTCCAACACCACACCAAAGGTTCGCCATCACCAACCAGTTCCCACCAGTCTCTACCAGTCTCTCTACACAAACAAAATTAGCTCCTTATATACACCATCTCACTCTAATTAGCCCAGACATACCAAGTATATATACATCAACAATATATGTACAATAAATATTTACATGATTTTACCAACCCAAAGATATCAATAATAATTTACAAATATTTACAATCCCTATAAATAGAGTAAATTATCAACACATAATTTATCCAAATAAACAGAGTAATGCATATCTTGACTTCCCCCCTACCGGCTTCCTGTGGTTGGTACTTCCCGGAACTATAAATGGGTGCTCAAGCCCCCGGGGAACCATTTTGCCTGAACACCCTGGGAAGAGGAAACAGGTAGAGGTGAGTTGTTGCAATATTTATACTAACTTTTATCTTTAGCTTGGCAGTATATATACACTCTATTGTTCTGACACATAACTAATTAGACATTAATACAATCTGGTCAGTTCAATCAGTCACTCACTGCCTTTGTCCATTTGTTTGTTCCCAGGGAGAACAAAAGGAACAACTGTGTCCCAGCTGTGCAATATGGCTCCCAGCGTCCACAGTCCAACAATAAATGTATCCAACAACATTGTGTGTGTTTTCCTTGGCACCTTCATCACATCACATCTCAAATACTGTCTGCAGCATACACAGAGTTGTTTTTTTTACTAAATATTTTGTCAAAATGATCTTTAGTTAGCTAATAGGATCATGTTTTACTAACAATAATTCTAGACCTTTTCATTGACATACTCGACAGCTCTATGTAATCTCAAGTAACCTTTCATTAACACCAACTGACTTTAAACTGAATGTTATTTACACTCCAGATTATATTATCCAGGCGAAGACATTGTAATCATTATCAACTGTGTAGCTATGTAACCATTTTACCAGACCTTTATCAGTTACGTTTAACTAACTACAGTATTTAGACTTCTCAGCTCGCTTGCTAACTTGTTTTCATGCACTTTCAGTGCTACAACTGACTACTACTGCTTGGTATTGTGCAGGCAGCCTATTGTAGCTGGCTACCCAGAGGCAGAGTCTAGAAATCCAAGATGAAATGGCCTGTAGTATTTGCCTCCAACTATGCCACTGTCATGTCAAATGAGGGCGTTGGATGCAGGAAGAACAGACAGTATATAAGAAATGAACGTAGTCACTGTGATGTCACCCATTGGTTTGTGGACTGCCATTTTGAAGCCTTGAGTTCTGCTTATCGTCCGTTGACATCTTGGTGTTTGGCTGTCGCCATCTTGCCTTTTTGCAACCAGAGGTGATGCGAGTGGGTGGAGCTAAGTACAATTAAATGCTGAATAAGACATTTTTAGGCAACCTCTGCCTGATGGGAACTCAGCTTTCTCTGTCACTATAGCATGCACAGAGGAAGTTGTTTACACTTGCACATCCACATAAAAGGTGGCAATCTTTCCCTATAATACAGTGTTCAGGTTCAGCTAATATGCAGTTATATTTCAGTTATATTTTCAAATTGTGTTTGTGCATGAAAACTTTTGAAAATCATTTCCGCCTCTTTTGTGCATTTTCAGAATGAAAGAGAACAGATCATGACCACAAATGTCTGGCTCACTCAGGTAAGTGTGCTGAAGCTCACCTGTATTCTTAGTCAGCCTAGTTTATGTCTTGTTAAATGTCCTTCCCTCTGAACTTGAATTAAGCCATATCCATTCTTCCTCTCTCAGCGTGGAACAAACTGCTTCTGTAATTTTGCTGCAGACATATTTAACTGATAATGAAGCATGTAATTAGAAATGAGCTGGTATTGAGAAAGTGTTTGGAAGTCGGACATGACAGCCAGGTCTCTCTGTCTCTGCAGCACTGGGTGGATTACAGGTTATCATGGGACCCTGCAAAGTACGAAGGTATCGACAAGCTGCGCATTCCCTCCAGACACATCTGGCTCCCAGATATTGTCCTGTACAACAAGTAAGCGTCACTTGAATGTCAAAGTGTTATGTTACATTCTTATGTGCAATGTTTTAAAAAACTAAGATAATTACATAGAATAATCTGTTAATGTTTTCTTTATGAGATTGAATCTATATGTCACAGTTTCAAAGTTCAAAGAGTACCCGGCAGGCAGGCAGGTTGAATAGAGCAGAAGATCAGCTTTAAAAACAAAAGCTAGTTCCAAAAACAACATTGACTGGCAACAAAAACTGAGGGAGCATGCTCAGGCAGTACAATGGAAATAAAGGAAAAATTCCAAATACTAAACTGAAGACAAACTCCGACGAGGAACAAACAGACAACCTCACAACTGAAAGAGGGAAAGCCACACAGACTAGATACGCACGGGACTAATCAACTTATAAAACACAGGTGAGATAGAAAACAAGTGGGGAAACAGACAAAGGCAGGTAGTAGCAAGTAGAAGACATTACACATGAGGACAATATGAGTAGTTTTCCTGTAATCTTCACTTCACTGTGATTGTTGATAACACAGATTCTCTAAAGTTCTCTCTCTCTCCCTCGTCTCATAGTGCTGATGGTACCTATGAGGTAACCGTCTTCACCAATGCCATTGTCCTTTTCAATGGCAGCATCAACTGGCTTCCTCCAGCCATCTACAAAAGCGCCTGTAAGATCGATGTCAAGCATTTTCCCTTCGACCTGCAGAACTGCACCCTCAAGTTCCGCTCTTGGACGTATGACCACACGGAGATCGACCTGATCTTGAAGTCCGAGGTGGCGAGTATGGATGATTTCACTCCCAGTGGGGAGTGGGATATCCTGGCGCTGCCAGGCAGACGGACCGTCGACCCCCTGGATCCCACCTATGTGGACCTCACCTATGACTTTATCATCAAAAGGAAGCCCCTTTTCTACACCATAAACCTCATCATTCCCTGTGTTTTGATCACATCTCTGGCCATTCTGGTCTTCTACTTACCTTCAGACTGTGGGGAGAAGATGACCCTCTGCATCTCCGTGCTCTTGGCTCTCACTGTGTTCTTGCTTTTAATCTCAAAGATTGTTCCTCCCACCTCACTGGATGTGCCCCTGATCGGCAAGTACCTGATGTTCACCATGGTGCTCGTGACCTTCTCCATCATCACCAGTGTGTGTGTGCTCAACGTCCACCACCGCTCTCCGAGCACCCACACCATGCCTTCCTGGGTCAAGCTGATATTTCTTGTCAAACTGCCTGCCTTACTCTTCATCAGACGCCCTCAGAATAACTCTGCAAGCCAGAGACTTCGCCGACAGCGGTGTTTCAGGGCGAGGAGAGACATTTTGGGCTTGGGTTACCCAGTCGCATCCAAGACAGGTTTCACCTTGTCGTCTTCTGCCCTGCTGTCTTCCAATTCTGCCTTCTCCACCCCAGGACACAAAAATGTAGCTCCTCAGCTGGGCTACAGCCACTCCAATAGGAAGGGGGACTTGCGCTCCACTGATTACATTTCCAGTGGTTTCACCTCTAACCAGGACCTCCAGCAGACAAGCAACTCAGATTGGGCTGCTGATGTCCAGGAGGCGGTGGATGGGGTGCGCTTTGTGGCTGAGCACTTGATGGGAGATGATGATGATCAGAGTGTATGTATCCACATTTTAAAAGGGTGAAAGGGTCAATAGCTATTTCAGTATAGGTCTCAGCAATATGGAAACGTCTGTAGTTTAACTCAAATATGTCAGCCTATAGCACCCTAATAATTAGATTAACTCTCAAGCTATGTTAGTGGTTTGAATGGATGGAACACATATGACAGTATATTGATATTAGTATTAAGTATATTACAGAACACTTTATGTTCCAATTCAACCCAATTCAATTGCTAGACTACAAGACATTGATTTGATGTATGTAAAAAATGTAAGCAGGGTTGACAGTTTGTTTGGATGTGAGGATTCAGAAAGGGAATCACTCTCATAGTTTATTCACTCATTCATTCACTCAGTTACACTCTCTGCCACCAAGTGGCTGCACAGAGGCATGGCAGCGTCCACACACGACACACTGGTGCAGGATTATTCGGTCATCTCACTGCTCTGCAATACTGATGGTTTATTTCAATAAAAGCCTGTGTGAAGTTTGTTGTGGCAAAAACATGAGCACTGAGTAAGTTTAATTTGATTTCTGTATATTCACAGGTGATAGAGGACTGGAAGTATGTCGCCATGGTGGTGGATCGGATGTTCCTGTGGATCTTTGTGATCGTGTGTGTGGTGGGCACGCTGGGCTTATTTCTCCAGCCTGTCTTCCAGACTCAGATTGTTCCCAAACAGCAGCCGAGCTCAGAGACTCCTCGCATATGATGACACGGCGAGTTTCTTTTTTTGTTTTCAGCAATCGAGCGGTGTATCTGCAGGCCTGCAGTATTTGCAAAGTTTTTTTTTTGGTTGCTTGAAGCCTGTAGTACCATGTTGGTGGGGTCAAAGAGCAGTGACAGCATCTATGCCAAACCCCACCAATAAAGCATCTGAGAGGGTTAAACCAGACAAAAAAGTACTTGCAACCACTTATTGTGTCTATCAGGGGAACAAACAGGATTGCTGTGCGAGATAGGACGTAGAACAAATGTCTCCTAATAATCGAAACCACATGATCCACAGCAATACAACCATCTACAGCAGCAAATATTTTGAAGAAATGCTACATCTGCAATGGACGTAATGAGGCATCGTTGCACTGTCATTTCCGTTCATGTCTACAAAGGACAGCTGCAGAACTGGACTGAATATAGCTTTCACTGCACTTAAGTATGCTGAACTTTTGCAGAAATATACCCAATATGTCTGAGTTAAGAAGACCGTGTGTCTGCTGTCAGATGTTGTTTGACGTCCTTTTTGTGTAAGTCCCATTACCATGTCATCGAAATGTGATATGTGATTAAAGATCAAATTATGCCCTCTCTTATTTTGATCTAATGTATGAAATCCCCAATAAAGTCTTAAAATTGTCAGGGTGAGTGCTTAGTTAATCTGTGTTGCCGGTGATAAAGTTTGTCCTCGGAGCCAATACGTCCGCTGAGAATGAGCCAATTAGAACATTTCATCACAGAGATAAGACGGCTGTTCACTTGAAATGTGAGTGTGTGTGACCTGGCAAAAAATAATGTTGACACAACAAAACTGTTGGAGATGAGGCTGATCTGGACTGCAATGTCTTGAAGCGCTGTGCTTTTTACACAAGGCCAGGGCCCTGCCAAATATCCTTCAGCAAGACGCTTCTATAATGTGTACAATGGTTTGAACAAATTGTACTTGTTTCTGACACCAATCCAATAACAGACCGGCAAATGCAGGCGCACACATATCTGAGCTTCACAAAACGTACAAGCACATGCTGAACGGAACCCACACTCAACATTTACTGCTCAATAAACTGTGGTGAGTGGGCTCGTTAGAGATTCTGCAATCTGTTGGTTCTTTTGTGAGACCGTCATTGAAATCAAGAGACGGCGATCTGCATCACTGTTGACGTTTTACCTTAATCTCTGTTTACAGTTTTTGAGATCATTCTCATTCACCTGTTGGCTTCCAGTCATTAGTGAGGAGAGACGTGGCGGTGCCACAACATATGCATCAATGATTCATCATCTGTTTCAATCCAAACAAAGCTAGAGGAGTCGTCATTCAACACTCCATAAAAAGTCTCATGAATCACGTCGGCAGCCTTTTGTCATTAGTGTCCAATGAGATATGCATGGAAGCGTTGTCCTTGAGAATTGCCCTGCCACATAAGCAAGCATTAATTACTTTCCAACAAAGATCTACCGTCATATCATCGTCAAAAATGGGGTTCAATCAAGATTACATGTTCCACTCCAACTTGTTTTTTTTATATTCAGGAGCCTTTGCAGCGTGAAGGTCAAATTATTATTTATTACTACCTCTATGTGATGTAATATCCCCCACGGGGGTGATTCTCTTTTCACTTGCCCCGCTCAAAGTAGTTGAGAGAGCAGGGTCAAACACCAAATGGAGACTCTGCTTTTGGAAGGGAGTATTTACCGTCCGAGGGCACTTCAGCACGGTGGATGCTTGCTGAAAAGCACTTGGAACTCCCCTTCATCCAGCTGAAGGACATAACTGTCAAACCCCTGGGCCAGTCTGCTGACTAAAGGAAAGAAAAGGGCTTCTCCGAACTGACAAAAGAAAGATAGAAGTGGGCTTACCAGCAGATATTTTTATTAAGAAAAACAGCAAACAGTCACACAGGATGTTGTCTGAAAACCAAAATCAATTAAGAATCAATCAGTCAATCAAGAATATGTTATGCTGAAGGCCACACAAACCCCGACCCAGTAGCACAGATGCAGTAGGTAACAGTTGTACAGTAAGAGCCCACAAACTTTCTTCATTCAAATGCTAATCCTGACGTGGCATCCCTTTTTTCTCTCAACGGAGCCCCGCCCACTTCAGATGACTAAGATTAAATGAATAAAAAGGGTATACCTAAATATTAAATGTAATAAATATTGAAATCTCTCATGTATAATAATCACAATCTCTTTCGTGGAGAATAATATTTTCATGTCAGGATCACTCAACTCTTGATTAGAACCTGATTGAGAAACTATGTTGTTCGGGTCCTTTTTTGTCTCTTAAACCTCCCACTGCGTAGTCTAATTTTAGTCGTTTTTTTTCCAATTCCAAGATTTAAAAAGAAAACTATACTGACACATCGGGTCCATGGACTACTGAAGGAACGAGTCCAAATCAAGGAAAGGGATGATTTGTAGCTGATATAAGCCTGTTGTGATCTAAAGGTGAAAACATGTGCACCCCTGACCAGTTTTGTCCTTGTTTTATCAGATTAGGTCGCTATAGGTTGCACTTTGTTTTGCAGTGCAGTGTGCCTCCTATCAGTGACCGAGTCCTCCGTGTAGCTCTGCCTCCCTCTCTCTCTGCTGCTCTCTCTGGAACTGCGGACGCGCTTTCTCTCTTCACACTTTCTTCTCCTGTCTGCTCCCCAGCACGCTGCTGCCGCTGACCCTGGATACTGTTTTAAATTTGTCATTTCAAACAGGATGAAAGGCATTTTTTGCTTCGTTGTGCCCAAATGTTTCTTCCTTGTGTTTCTTCTTCGACGTGAGTAATAAACTACTACTTTAACATGCCATACTTGTTGCTTAACATACATGTGTTTAACAATATTGCCACAATTAATGATGGAGGCTACCTGTACAGAATTAGCAATTCAAAATAGCCTTTTTGAAATAACCTATATTTATTTAGTCACAATGTCAAAATGCCATAAACCCCGGATAAGCGGAGGAAAATGGATGGATGGATGGATATTTAGTCACATAAGGCAAATATTCTGGGAAGTAATAAATGACTGACTTCGAGCTGTTGTTAATGCATTTGTATTGGTGCAAATAAATATTCTTTACACTGAAGAAAACCTCAAAATAAAGCATTCAAATCATTGAAGGTAACACTCTGGTATTACAAAAATGTATAAAGCCAAAACAATATGAAGGTATACGCTGCTCCCCTGCTTTGACCACTAACCAACAATTCTCTGGCTGTTAGTCACCTTGTAACCAAACCATGGGCCACTTTATAAGCAACTAAACCACATTGCAGTGCAGTGACAGATCCATGTCTGACAATCTGCTCTTTTTCAGGAGGCTCCTGTTCAGAGGCAGAGCACAAGCTCATCTCCGTGATATTCTCCAGCTACAACCAGTACATAAGACCAGTGGAAAATGTGACCGACCCAGTCATTGTACAGTTCGAGGTGTCCATGTCACAGCTGGTCAAAGTGGTAAGTGCTGATGACTATTGCACATGTGAGTTACAGGCTGCTACTTCACCACAGTCAGATATCGCTCAGCTTAATTAGCAGTCATGACCGGAGTGAAAAAAAACAAGGAATAACAGAAACAGCATTACATGTGGAGGGTATGAGCATAAGAAGAAATTGTGTGTGTGTGTGTGTTTCGATTTGTGGACTTTGGGCAACAAAGTTTTAGAGAAGGGGACAATTGAGATGACACCTGAGATACTCCCTGCCAGTGCGCGGTAGCCCCTGGGTTAGAATCCTGAGGAGGAAATTACGAGATGAAAGAAGGGGCAGTGTGGCTGTTTGTCTGGCCAAGACAAGATGGGGAATGTCAGCTGTCTGAGCACCTCTCAGTTTAGGCAGTCTCTATCACTCAACCACTGCCACTTCAGATGAACACCGCTGGATTTAACAGGAGTTTCACTAGATCCTGTTGACTGCAGACTGACGGGGCAGACAGAGACTCAGACAAGTCTGGAGCGGATGTCGATAATTAAGCAAAGAGTCTCGTGTTGGAGACGGAGGACAGCTTCTTTACAAAATTAACAGCCTTGATATTGTTCTCTATCACATCAGTCTCTCTGCTTGTGTTGAATGACAAGAGGAGGTGCTCATTATTTTAGCCACCTAAAAGAAAGACCCAATCAATATCCGTGTATTCTATATTTACACTATTTTTACCGCTTTATTTTGCTATCAAACACCATTTCTAACTATAGCATACACTTAAACTGGTTTTGATTTATTTTCTAGGCGTCTAAAGTACATTTTTCTGCTGCCCCCGTCCACAGGAGGATATTGCTTCGTGCCTGTGCAGGCTGACCTCTGTATAACCACACTTCAACACATACAAACTATCCCTTTAAGTCAATCGCCTGTGACAGTGTTCTTCCTATTTTAACTTTAGGATGTCAGAATGTATTGTTTTTTTCCCCCCAAAATGTCTTCATTATCAATTCTGCTCTGTTTTCAGGATGAAGTCAATCAGATTATGGAGACTAATCTGTGGCTGAGACATGTAAGTTCATGGTGCATGGCCCTTAAGCAAGGACATGAAGTATGGATCCAGCTTCCTGTCATACATGATTCTTCGGGGCTGGACTGACAGGTTGAATTATTCATGGAAGGAAGCTCTTTAAGCATATTGATCCTTCTAGTCCTAATTTTTTAAAGAAAACAAATCCTACAAACCAATACCATTTTGGATTTTGTGGTCAATTTTCTTCACGATTTTTTTTTTTTTTAAATAATTTGACAGTGGTCTGGAATTCATATCATACTTGTCCATAATATTCCTTCTGACAGTGTGACAGAAGCCTCTGAGCATCTGCAAAACACTGAACCTGAATGATTCAACTGATTTAAATTGTATTTCGTGTCCATCAAAAATAAAGCCATGCTGTATGCCTTGATGGTTTTGTCATTTCCCACATAATGTAATGTCTCTGCTGCAATGATGCATAGTGCAGTGAACCAGATCGGAATCAAATGAGTCAGGGCAGGTCTCCAAGTCCCACATTACAGTTGCTGAGCAAATACACATCTTCAATGTTAATGCTAAAGGGTTGTGCTGTAATTGCTCTTTGTTGCTGAGAGTTGAAGCAGTGTTTCACTTTTGATGTCTGTTGTTTTGGAGTTTCTCTTTGCACCGACCATCCAAATCTTACAATACACTGTAGATACCTACTGTTTCGTATTTAAGTGAAATCATTGCAGCTCTCTGAGGTTGCTTTATTGTTGTTGCTTTATGAGTCTCACAAGCATATCTGGCTGTCCTCAAGAGAGGGTCAAAAATGAAAGGTCCATAAAATACACTGTAAACTGTGGTCCATTATGTCTCCTCTCAGACTACATACTGTGTGAAGTCAGTTTATATGCCACAGTTGGAGATGACGACCTCTCAACATTTGACAAGAGAATGTGAAGATTTGTATAGTAAAAGATAATCACCAGAAGGAAAGTACTGGTACCTTCTTGTTTTTATATATAAGTTGTGTAGCTTTATAGAGCCGTTACAACAAACTTATTTTGTTTAAACTGCTTGGAAATAAATAATGCATCTGCGTTGTCAGTCGGTAACATTTGGTACAGACATTGATGGGCCCTAGAGGATGCATCCTAATGATTTTGGTGATCCCGTGATATTTCCTGTAGCGCCACCACAACGGGGATCTTTGTAGTTTTGAGTGAAATGTCTCGACAACTATTGGACGGAATGGCATGAAATTTGGTACAGATCTTAATTCCCCCCTCACGATGAGTTGTAATACCTTTGGTGATCCCTTAAGTTTTCATCATTGAGTTAAATGTTTTATTTGATTTTTTATTTGTCCAATATTTGTCTGACACTGTAATTGTTCTTGTTTTTAGCGTGAATTAATCATTCTGTTTTGTTTTTCAGATCTGGAATGACTACAAACTCAGATGGAATCCAAAGGATTTTGGAGGCGTGGAGTTTATCCGAGTGCCATCCAGCAGGATATGGAAGCCAGACATTGTGCTCTACAACAAGTGAGCTTAACAACAAATTCAAAAACCTGGCTTTTAAGTGCATTTAAGATAAAGGATTGCTGGACAATGACAAGCTATATCATTCGCCATTGCTCATTTTGCATGGGTTGTTTTTCACTCGGTCTTCCTCTTTTATTTTCTCACTCTTTCTTTATTTTCTCTCTCTCCACAGTGCAGTCGGAGATTTCCAGGTCGATGACAAAACAAAGGCCCTCCTTCGTTACAATGGTGATGTTACTTGGATCCCTCCTGCCATATTCAAGAGCTCATGCAAGATTGACGTCACTTACTTCCCCTTCGACTACCAAAATTGCACCATGAAGTTCGGCTCCTGGACGTACGACAAGGCCAAGATCGATCTGGTGCTTATTGGCTCCACCATCAACCTCAAGGACTTCTGGGAGAGCGGCCAGTGGGCGATCATCGATGCCCCTGGTTACAAACATGACATTAAGTACAACTGCTGCGAGGAAATCTACACGGATATTACTTACTCTTTGTACATCCGCCGTCTGCCACTTTTCTATACCATCAACATGATCATTCCCTGCCTCCTCATCTCCTTCCTTACCTTGCTCGTCTTCTACCTGCCATCTGATTGCGGTGAGAAAATCACTCTGTGTATCTCCGTCCTGCTGTCTTTAACTGTCTTCCTCCTTGTCATAACAGAGACCATCCCCTCCACCTCGCTAGTCATCCCCCTGATTGGCGAGTACCTCCTCTTCACCATGATCTTTGTCACCCTCTCTATTGTGATCACTGTTTTTGTGTTGAACGTCCACTACCGCACACCAAAGACCCACACTATGCCCTGCTGGGTGCGGACTGTGTTCCTGGGGCTGCTGCCCAGGGTGATGTTCATGACGAGGCCAGAGAGGGACCCTGAGAAGTTGGCGGCGGCGGCGGCGGCGGCGGCGGCCGGCAATGTTCCGACGATGCATTCAAGGCCCTGTGCCATTCATTCGTCAGGTACTTTGCAGAAGCAGCACAAACCTCAGGCCCTGTCCTCCAGCGTGGTGTCTAGCCTGACAAACCGCCAACGGCTTTTCAACAACACAGAGCTCTCCAACTTCAATAACTTAAGTGGAGACCCGACCAAAGGTGCAGGCTCAGCGCTCTTGTGCTGCAAGGGCCATTGCAACTGCTGCTGGCACCAGAGGTCCAGCAAACTGCCCGCAGACTCCGAGGGAGGGAGCGGGGGACTGGGCAGCCTGGGGGCCGCGACTGGAGGCAGTGCCTCTGGGGTCGGAGGGGGGAGTCGGTGCTCCAGCTCCGAGTCTCTGGAAGGAGGAATAATGTCCCTGTTGCCGCTCTCCCCTGAGGTCCGGGAGGCTATTGATAGTGTCACATACATTGCAGAGAACATGAGACTACAGAATGAAGCAAAGGAGGTGAGTGCTCACAATCATAAAAAATGTGAAACTATGGTAAACATTTATAGGAAACCTACTTAGACAATGTCACCGCACCATTAAAAATCTCTTTCACTGTGATCCTCTCACAGGTTCAGGATGACTGGAAGTATGTTGCCATGGTTATCGACAGGATCTTCCTCTGGGTTTTTATCCTTGTGTGCATCCTGGGAACAGCTGGCCTCTTCCTCCAGCCTCTATTGCTTACGGAGGACATTTGAATCAGCTTCGATAAAGCAAATACTTCAATATAGTTTAACTGCACAGCAATCATTATACATAAGAGTCTCACCATGGCACAGACAGAGGAAATACAGAGCTGATGCAAAGTCAAGAAGAAACAATGACTGAGTCTGACAGATATTGACGCCAATGTTTCAGTGACTGTGTTTTCACAGATAGAGTAGATACTTTTTGTTTGAAGAAGTGGCTGAAGGACTCTCTAATGCAGAGGACATTGTTAACAAGCAATGGCAAAGACCATGATGGTTAGTCATTTCATTGTTTACATGCTAGCTCTGAAGCAATATAATCTACAATGCTGGGCACAAAGGAGGTCTGCACACTGTTGCGCTCTAAATAAATAGTTTATTTCTCTTTTACTCTGCTTAAGGCAACATTTCAATCTGTAAGATCTTCCTCGGGCAAGTGTGAATGACAAAAGCAGCCATTTGTTGTCGAGGCAGTAATCAACTGAAATCATTATCATCTGCTGGTCAGCAACTTTGTGTCCGCCAGTTAAGACGTTTTTGTCTTGCAGCCGAGTAACATTGCCTGGATGTGCGCAAACTTGTTCCCTCTTCTGAATATAATCAGCAATGCCAAGGCTACACCGTTGCAATATCAATAATGGGAACTTATTCAATTTAGTGAACTTGAAGCACCTAATTTCATATTAAGCAATACATACTTCACCATAATTCACCAGGTAGCTCGGTATTTTCTTCTTTAAATGTTAAGTCCACTTTGAGTGCCATGCTAAAAATGTAAACGTGTTTATTGAGATAACAGGGGAAAAAAAGCATTAAACATGTCTTTCCATGTTTCTAAGAACAAAGCAAGGTGGCGTGTTCAAAGAGTGACATCATGTGGCAATTCTTTGCTACTACAAATGATAACAAGGCCCTCTGATTGTTGTAAAGGGATATGGCGCCCATTTTGTCATCATCTCGGTTGTGACATATTCCCAGTTGTAACATTTTCTGAGAAGTTATACTCGTAGTTTATGCGTGTAAGGCAACCCTATGAGAAAATGCCATCTAGAATTCTTGCAAATTTGATATTTACAATGCCCTGAAAGTGTTCCATGAGCAAAGAGAAAAAGCATAAACACATTTTAGTTCTGTTTTAATCACATATTTCTGTTAATAAATATTATAAAAACATGTAATACAAATGTGTGAGGTGCACCTCTGTTGTATCTGTGGTTTCTCTGAACTACCAGGATTTCTGACACTGGAAACAAAAGCTGTGGGATGTAGACGTAATTTGAAGGAGGTCACTGAGGCTCTGTTTGGCCCTTGGAGCCTACTCTGCTTATCAAAATCATATAGAGAGCGAGTGATGAAGGATCTTATTGGATTCCTCTCTTTTCTTCTTCTAAACCTCTTTCCTGACAAAAATAAAATGTTCTGCTCTTACTACAAGGCGTCTGCACTGCCTCTTGGTACCTCAGTGCTGCCACCACAGGTCCGATGCTGTCAGGAGTAAGGGTCAAATTCTCACATGTACTTAAAGACTTATAGATGAAATGGGCTGATGGAAATTACACTTAAATCACAACCTCCATAGGTACTAGCTAACAGAAACACATAATCTCCCACATGTACTGTGAGTCTAAGCATCCTGGCTATGGCCTGACTCTCAGTGTGTCACTGTCTGATTCTTATAATACAACTAAAAATCAGAGCAGATGGCGAGCTATGTGATTACAAGAAAATCCAGCCCATATTTAATTGAATGCTGGCAGGGAAGAACAGACAGATACCAGCTCTCTGTCACATCTGATAAGAAACCCCTGGCTAATGAATTTAATTAAAGCTCACTTAGAACCTGTGTGTGGCTGATCTGCAGGAGGGCAGGAGATCTGCTGAAAAAAGATACCGTATGATGTACGAAATAAAGGAGCTTTAAAGGAGAATATTTTCTTATGGATCCTTCCACCAAAAACTTGCTGTTAAAAGGAAGAAAAAAAAAAAGAAAAGATGCGCTGGTTTTACCTGCCAGTAAAGGCATGCATGAACAATGTTTAATTTTGGAACAAAACCATCTCAAGACACCACAGAATGCACAGGAAGTGGCTCAGTATAGTGTCTGCACATTCATTATTTTAGCTCTCCGTGAGTGTAGACAAAAACCTGATAGTTGCCTGTACAAGGTTTCACAAGGTGCTGTCTGTGGAGTCTATGGCTGTTACATTGCTTATAATCATGATCATAATTGCCATCCTCCTGTGTAAGTACATCAACAAGTGATATGTTTGTTTAACTATTTAATTGTTTGTATGAAGAGAAAGGATTAATTTGTCTTGTTTGTCTTCAAGGTGCTCTGGCAAATCAGGTCACAAGCCAAACTAACGGTGAGCTTTCATTAAGAGAACACATCTGTCTGCTGTTTTCTCCATGTGATTGTAAGACATTGTATCATATATAAATGAAACGTCTTTCTCTGTTTCAACAACCCCATGCAACAGATATATTTCCAGCGAGGATCCTGGCTCAACAGAAAACTATGAGCGAGAACAGTGACCTTTATGTAACCTGCAGCACATTTGGGTTCAAGAAAAAGGTCATGGTTTATGTTTATTTATGTAAGGGTGAATTTTGGATCAATAAAAAGACGCAGAAGCCAGATCAAAATGATACCACCTTCACCATACACAGAGTTGGCCTTCATCACAGTGGAAACTACAGCTGTGTTTACTCCATAAGGAATGATTCGCTTCCCAATGGAGCCAAGAGAGGACACAACGTGATTCAGATTCTGGTTATATGTAAGTATTTACATCCCTATATGAAAGCATGTCAACGTTATTTCTCTCCACTCATTTTGTCCTTCTTGCCGCACAGCCAATTATCTCCCTGCAGATATTTCAATAGCTGGGCCTTCAACTGTCAGTGAGGGAGACGATATTGCATTCAGATGTGCTGTTTCTGACACCCTGCAAACACTCGGTGAATGTCAACTCATCCACTCTTACCTGAGGAGGAATGAGACCATCCTCCAAGTGCAAGCGTTTAATGTCACCCGGATGGAGGCAACCTTCACCATCGAAGGTGCCGTCATTAGGGATTCGGGCCGTTACAGCTGCGTGGTGCTGCCATCTAAATGCATTCAAGAGCAAGAGAAAACACTCTATGGAAATAACGCAGTGTTGCTGGAGGTCAAAAGTTAGTGGGTCAGCTGCTCGTGGTTACAAAATGCAGTTAGAAATATAGTAATTTTTCTGTTTGCTGTATATGCTTCAATGTTGAAAGTCTTCTAAAACGTAGTATGCTCTTGCTCTCCAGTAAGTTTGGTCCTCCCAGTCATTGTCTCCTGTGGAGCAATAATCCTGATGTCATTAGTGGGTCTGTGTCTGTGGTGGATCAACAAACAATATCAGATGATCGAAGAGAAATTGAAAGGCAAGTTTTAGAGTTCATATTTTGTAGTATGTAGTCCTGTCATCGAATGACGTAAAAAAACATCTGTTATTAGTAAACTTCTATTCTGTATGACACTGCCTTGTCTCACCAACCACATTGTGAAGGTGAACATTTTAACACTTTCGATGTTTTTTTTCCTATTTCAGCAGGCTACTCAGCTCCGTCCAAGTGAGTTCAACTTTTGACCCAGTCTCATTGATGCTGTCTGATGAATTTAGGAGCATTCCAAAAGCTTATGAGCAGATAAGCAGATAGTCATTTGGTTTTTATTTTGTACTGCTGTTTTCAGATATATGTGCTCATAGACATTTTTTGTATCCAGGATGCTTACCGTGAACTAAAATACACTGGGTACACACTGAATCTGCCACTAATCTGCCAATGCTGAGTTGATTAAAGGGCTTGAATTGTGCGTTCTTAGTGAGGCGAGTCAGCAGGCAAATGCAGACATGGTGGAGGAACAAACAGAGGGAGAGGATGTGGAAGCACAAGACGGTATGTTGAAAATGGAATTACAGTAAAGGCATACTCTGGGGAGTTTGTAATGAAGTTAACTATGATGACTTACATAAACATAATCTAGCTACATTCTGGTCTGAGTAACTACAATAATTCCTCTGCCTGGATATATAAAACATCAGGGACACCATCACATGTTTGTGCTTAAAAGGCTTAAAATCAGTTTTTGCAAAAATTAAATGCATGAATGATCATGGCTTTTACATGCATTCCAAGTGGTCATCCTAATTCCTGAAGAAGATCTGCTCAAATGTTGCTAATTCTGTGTCTTTCAAATTATTTCCCTCATGACGTGTCTCAGGGTTATTGTGAAAGCAATTTGTGACTTTCTTTTAAGAAAAGTGCAATAATGCTAAACTATATATGTTGATTAGAATGACACATACATAGACATAGATTTATAATAGAAAACAACTAACCCATTTATTGGTCTCTCTTTTAAACATTTTAAAATCTTTTTCAACTCAGGAGACTCTTTCAGCACGGAAGAGGAAGAAGAGTAAGAAACATAAATTCATTTTAATACAAATAATTATGTCAGTGTCACTTTTACGCACATGGCGAGAGTAAGATATATAATTATGTAAGTAACATGATAATGTAATATTGTAAAGGTGTAATATTTCAAGCCACATGATAATTTGCCAGATGAATCTGACTTCTGTTATTCTGACCATTTTCTCAGGTATCAGAATGTTGTGGCTGCTGAGGTCTCCAGTAACTATGATGATTGTGAGGGAGCGTACAGTTTTGCAAGTAAGTCATAAGCTACTTTGTGCTATTACATAAATAGTATTTAACTTAACATGTTGACAGTCATGGAGATGACTTTGATTTCTAACATGCAGATGAGAGTGATGATGGATAGAGTGGCATTGATCAGATGTGGGCCAACTGACAGATTTTGAGTGCTAAAGTTACTGTAGAATGTATCATTATAGTGTAATATTCTCAGCACAGTTGGCAACGTTAGAATGGAGTCACTCAGAATATGTACCATTTGTTTTTGTTGTTGAGATGTTTCTTACTTACGATGCTCAAAAATAAGGCAACGAGGACAGACAATGAGAAGAATGAAAATAATAAAACATGTCATTAAGTTATCAGCTTAGAAGGCATTACATATAATGATGCTGCTAGTCATTTCAGATGAGAAAGTGTTTCTGTCAGCATCTTAAACCACATCTTTATTTGCAGCAGCAGCACGGATATGAATAGCATTTTGTAGCATGCTCTCTGACTCGTGAGAGCTAATTCCGCCATCACAAGTGGTAAAACAGAAATAAAGTTGAACCAACAGTAAATGCATGAACGCCAATAAAAACATTTTGCTGCACGGTCCGCTATTTAATCGTGAACTTCTCAACCACAGATGATCCACCTGCAAGACCAAATTAAGGACATTTGTATGCAATGACCTCCAGAAGAGTAACAAAAACACATCCAGCGCTGACCTGAGTTTTTGTATTCAACTTAGAAACACCTGCCTAAGATGCTCTTGTTTTGTTCACCCTGTCACATTTTGTGAGAGTAAGAAAATGTTAACATTTAGAATTGATGAATGAAGTTGTTTTCTGAATGTACAGTGGCTGTGGGACATCTGAACTTTACATTATTACAGTTCACCTGAATAGCAGTATAGCAGGCAGAGGATAGAAAATGTCCTCATTCATTAACATGGACCTTAACCTTTCTTTGTGTGCAGACGGGTTAGATTCCCTTTTACCCTTTTAATGTAAAGAGTGTGTTCCTGCCATTTTCTACAGTCAGAGCTTCATAGTATATGTTAGAGTATGTTTTAAATTATAAAACTACAAGTGTTGTGAATTGTGTTGATTGATTTGACTTCGACAAATTTTTCATCTTGTTCTTTGTTGTATCCATTGTTCAATGATGTAAAGCATATTCAATAAAAGCACATTTGAGATTATATAACAACATAATATAATATTATATATTATTTTTTAAATGAGATTTTATAAAGAATTTATCAAAACAATATTATCATTGTTTTTCATTTAAATAGACCTTAATAGAAAATAGAAAATTGATAAAATATATATATACACTAATTTGACTGATAGTAATGTATATATATATATATATATATATATATATATATATCCATTATTGTCCTCTGATGAAAGTTTAACCGTGGAGTTCAATGTCCTTATCTGATAAGAAAGCCACTCTATCAGCAGCAGTGGCTGTATGACTAACTATGTTCTTCAGCTGATGAGCTCGCAATCAAGATGAGCATCCGATATCTTTGTCATTGCTGATTTCCTCCCCTCTCGCATTACTGCTGCAACTCCTGTGGGAAATACAACAGAAGACCTGATGGAAAGAATGGAGCAGAATAGAGAGCAGCAGTGTGCATTGCTGTAAATGTACATAAATAACGTCTGTACACATAAAGGATTTAATTCTGAGCCATGTCTTTCACTGGAATTTTTCATTCTGAACATGTGAGGTCACCTTACATACCAGAGCATTTCTTTTGAAAGGGAAAACTATCCCACGTAATACCTGCCATTAAGCTTAAACATTTTATAAAAGTGCTATACTAATAATGAGTGACTGCAGTTTCAGCAGCATGCATTGAAAGCAAAGGTCTAATCAGATAGAACGTGTCTCAGTTAACTTCTAATCAGCATTTCTATGTATTTGCTGTGCCTGAAAACCCAGTGTCACATTTGTTTTCTCCCTGCCCCCCTTGGAAGGGGTTGGTCTATACTCATTGTTACACACAGCCAACCTGTATCCAGCATGGATAAGCAGAAAACAAATACATTATATTCAGTGAGGGCTTATGCGACACAACCATAATCCCCCTGCTGCACCTCGAGGAGGGCTATACATATATGGACAATGGATACCTGTATGTAGGTTGTATTTTTGTTTTGTGAGAAATGTAATTAATTTCTTTTCAGTTAATCAAAAAGTCCTAAATATGACAATGTTTATATTTTTTATAAAAAGAGTAGGACTCAGTAGTTCAGGGTCTTGTCATTTTTTATTGTTTTTTCTTTTCAAGCATTTCTCAAGACACACAAATCTGAAAAACACAAGAGGGAGAAAAGCAATCGCTGCAACAGTAGCCAGAAAGCACAGAACCACATCAACAGAGTGGTAGGAGTACCAGGGCATTCTGTAGGACTCTG